ATACAATACAATACAATACAATACAATACAATACAATACAATACAATACAATACAATACAATACAATACAAGAGCCAAGGTGGCGCAGTGGTTAAAATGCAGCACTGCAGGCTACTGCTAGATCAGCAGGTCAGCGGTTCAAATCTCACCGGCTCAGGGTTGACTCAGCCTTCCATCCTTCCGAGGTGGGTAAAATGAGGACCCAGATTGTTGGGGGCAATATGCTGACTCTCTGTAAACCGCTTAGAGAGGCCTGGAAGGCCTATGAAGCGGTATATAAGTCTACTGCTATTGCTAAAAAAAAACAAAAAAAAAACACATAGGAACTGTGGAGACCCAAATTAATGATATGTTGGTGGCCAGACTTCATGACAATGTTCTCAAGAAATTTTTCCAAATATCAAAAGAAATGTGAGATTTCAGTATCACTACAATCTCACAGTAGATTTCTGGCAACCATGCAGTTGTGTAAAATTACACACTGGTATTCAGTGCTTGAAAAATAATGCTCTCTCCTTTGTAGTCAGAAGAGCAGCTGCCACTCTTTTCATCATGTGATGGAATTCCGAATAAATGTGTATCGCTTACAAAAGCAGCAAGTTTGTTGATTTAAATTTATTATACGTAGCTTCCCAATTTCCATGGACTCTACTCTGAATATACGCACCTCGGATTTCCCTTCCCATCCATAAACACAGATAAAATCTAAAACTACAGAGAAAGCATGAACTAAAACAATGTAAAAATGATACAAAACCCAATAGCCGCCTGGCAAAAACAGAAATACATTAATTACAGACCTGGAACCCAGTCAGGTTTCAAGTACTTTCTGATCCCTAGTAGGGAGTGCCCTGTCCTTATCTAGTGTGTGGGAATGTGTTCTTCCAAAAGGTCTTGAAAAAGTTGTCTTCGGAATTGGAGTGAGAGAAAAAGCTTGTCTTGGCCAACTCTGCTTTTTCTCCTTTTTATCTGAGGTAGCAGCACACAATGCATGCTTTCAAAAGCTGGGTTAATTCTGGAAAGAATTTCTGGATGCACTTTCAACAAATGTTCCTTGTGGTTAGCTTCCCTCCAACTACTAGTCATGTGCAGGTCTTAGTTGTTGTGCATTGAGAATTGAAAATTGTCATCAGCAGGAGTACATTGGCAAATTCTGATGGAGATCGGCTAAAACAAAGGCAGGAGAACATTACAACAACTTTATATGTGTTTATATCTAAATAAAGCTGCCACATCCCATATCTCTCTAGAAAGCTGACTTACATTAGTACTAGACCAATGATCTATTTTGTCGGTATTATAATGTCTGCATTGCTAAGGCTGCAGTTAAGAATCATTTTGAATCTTACTTGAAGATTCAAATTTGAGTTAACAGTTTTCATGTATATTGCATAATTAAGAACACGGGGCTATAAGAAAATGGTAACAGCATGCTATGGGGAAATTAAGATTTGCAAGAATAGTATAAAATATTGGGGGGGGGATCAAAGGAGCAAAAATAATACAAATGTAATATGTATTTGACCATAAAACTCAGGATCTTTTGGATGAAAAGAAAGCAAACTGGGAGTGGGATGTAAAGAAATATAGATGAATGAAAAGAAAACAGGATCACTTCATAGTAGTGTGCTATATCACTAAGCTCCATGTTCTACCCGTTCTTTGAAGTGTGCTTCTTGCCTTATTTGGAATAACAAATCCAGACTTTGCTGAGACAGACCTTTTAATCCTGTACTTGGTACAGTTTAATTACTAACTTACAATGTACTCTTGGCATCCGCAAGATGCTGCTGTTCCCTGATGCCTTTTGGGCTCAATTAATCTAGCGCACACTTAGCAACTTCTAATTTCTAGGTAACATTGTTATGACGTTAGTCAGTCTGCTGTGTCTTGTTTTTACAAATGCAATCATGTCCAATAAATGTCTTCATACTTAAATCTTCTCATGTATAAACACAGTTTTATAGGGTAAAAGGTGACATTGTGCAAAGCAAAGACTGCTTACTTTAAAGCTCCTGTTCAGTTGATGTTGTATCAAGTTCTTGAAAGAGCCAGTCGACAGCTGGGCGGCTTGTTTCCCATGAACGAATAAACCAACAAGAAATGAGCCTCCCCCAATTGCCTACTGCCAGTCAGGCGTCCCGGGAGTAAAGATAACACCGCCCAAAGTAATGCCTTTCACAGAGGCAGCCAGCAACCTCAGTGATCACTGGCTAACATGTGCCATACGCTAAATAAATAAATAAACCATTCAAAGCACTATTTAAAGCATATTTTCATAGGCAGATCCTAGGCAGTTTCAAGGCACAAAGGCTATGTCAATTATATTAACATTGTTAATACAAATAATAAAACAAAAGTTGACTAGATTAATATTAAAAGTAAAAGTCAAAAGACTAATAATGATAAAATACAAATTTGTAGTAAAATTATTTATTGATACTGCAATTTGAAGGCCATCCAACTCCTGATGACTGTAGCTTATCATCTAAAAATAAAACAAAAATTCATAAACAGCCTGAAGACAAGTAAGTAAATAAAAATCCATCCAACTGGGGCCCCACCCTAAATGAATCCCAGGGCCTGAGAGCTTCCTGAATGTGTTCAGATTGGGAACCATCCAGATCTTGGAGGGAAGGGATAGTGTCATTCTGGATAGTAAGAACCCTGACAGAAAAAACCTGCCTCCTAAGTCCACCAGACCAGGAGTCAACAACATTGGCCACTTTAAGACTTGTGGACTTCAACTCCCAGAGTTCCTCGGTCATCAAAGCAAAGCTGATTGAGGAACTCTGGGAGTTGGTCCACAAGTCTTAAAGTGGCCAAGGTTGGAGACCCCTGCACCAGACGACAGTATCCGGGACCCTGAAGTATGCCCACTTTACCAAATCTCAAGGGAAGAAACAGTAAGAAATAAGCAGTCCTCCAAATCCTAGTGTAACAAGAGGCTGTCCATTCTTGTACCAACAATGCTTATGTTCTAAAACCAGACAAGGTCAGCCTTATGACGAGTTTTTCTCAATTGCACTTTTGAGATATGAACCATAATCCCTAGAACTCCCAGCTGCACTATTGATTAGGGAATTCTAGAACTAAGTCTCAGCATGTATGGAGGATGGGAGATTGAAGAAAGTTGGCATTCAGTAATACACTTCTAGATGAAATGTTGCCATCCTGAAATCCCACTGGAAATAGTCCTCAATTTCCATTGTTCAGTGGAACATAAAGAGAGACCTCTGTCAGGAAATGCTACTGATGCAAAGAGCATTTTGTGTATTAAGCAAACTTCTCATTTGGGGATGATGGGAAATTAGCAACAAGGATTCTGGATGTTTTTATAGCCATGTTTTGTTGTGTGCTTTTTCATAAAAGAATATATCTTAGAACCCAAATTTCTCTGTTAACTTTGTTTTCTCCACCTTCCTGATTTTAGGCATCTGTCAGAACTCCCATTTTCAATACTTTTGACCTCCAGATGAAATTTGTGTGTGGCCAATGTTGGAGAAATGGACAAGTTGTGGAACCAGACAAAGATCTCAAATACTGTAGTGCCAAAGCGCATCATTGGTAGGTACCTTTTCCTAGTCTGTTTTCTCCTCTCCCTGTGATGAGGTTCTGTGATGTAGAACCTCTTCCTGCGATTATTTTGGCATCTTATATTGAAATAACTTATCAGTTTTATTTTTTAATGCAGTCTAGAAATATTCATAACTAGATATCCTGCTGCTTATGTGCTGCTGCCGTTTTGTTTCTTAGTTAACTTTGATGAAAAGTGCACACCCCATCGTCCTAGCTTTTTCCTTGGTGGGGTTATGGTTATGGTTCAGCTGTTTCGACCCTTCCTTGGTTGCCATGAAAGCTGAACTTAGTAAAAATGATCATTTTCAATGTTCCATTATAGTGATGTAAAGTTTTTATAGCATTTGTTTTCTGCTCGATTATTTTTTTACATGCTTCCTCCAGTTGGACCAAGGAGCGCCGTGTCTTGCTAGTGATGTCCAAAGCAAAAAAAAAGTGGGTATCCGTTCGACCCCTGCCTTCTATCCGCAACTTCCCTCAGCAATATGATGTAAGTAATGCTCTTCTTTGCACAACACTGCCTACCCTATTTTGCCTTCCATCCTTCCGAGGTTGGTAAAATGAGGATCAGATTGTTGGGGGCAATATGCTGACTCTGTAAACCACTTAGAGAGGGCTATAATGCACTGTGAAGCGGTATATGCGTCTAAGTGCTATTGCTATTGCTTGAAGAAAGCTGTTTTACATTAAAAAAGCATGCAGGAAAATGGGTGCAAGAGCTCAAATAGTGAAGGAGATGCTCAGTAGTCAGTATTGAAATCCAAAGGTATCTGTCATTCAATTTTGAGTGAATATTTGATACCTATTAACATATGCATTCACATTATTTTGATTGTAGTGTTTCAGGATTGTTTGGTTCTGAAAGTGACAAATATATCTTACATTTCTTTTTTTTATGTAGACTATAGGTAGAGCAACAGAGGTTGCTATTCTGCTAGAAAAGATATTAAAAAATAAATACAGCACTTAAAAATAAAAACAACGAAGTCACAACTGAAACTATTGTTTTGGGGGATTACTTTTTTGAAGGTGAATAGGCTAGAAATAACATTTTATATAAATAGATAAAAAAGTACATGTTGATGCATGCAATGAGATATGCATTTGCATAGGCTTTATGTGTATCCTTGGGCAAATGCTTCCTGACAATTCTCATTTACTGTATTGTCTTGAGGGGAGGGAGGGGTCTACAAAATTTAAGTCTAGTATGAAAGGAAATTTGTTATTCCACCTAATTGTGTCTTTGTTGATTGGTAAAGTTGTGTGCAGATTTTTAGTATTTTTGGAAATATCAGTTCAATCTGTTTCTAATTGGAATGTCTGTCTCTTTCCCTTGAACAAAAAGCCAAAATATTTTGTTTGCATATGTGAGTGATGAGTAAGAACAAGGGAGGGAGTTATAAACAGATCATACCTAATATACATGAATGGTTTTAATTATAGAATGGAAATTGGAAACTCCAATATAACTTTAGGGCGTGGTCTTTTAAGAACTGCAAAAGATTTTTTTCATGGTAGAAATATAATACAATAATAATACAACAGCAGAGTTGAAAGGGACCTTGGAGGTCTTCTAGTCCAACCCCCTGCCTAGGCAGGAAATCCTATACCATTCCAGAAAAAAGGCTGTCCAACATCTTCTTAAAGACTTCCAATGTTGGGGCAGTCACAACTTCTGGAGGCAAGCTGTTCCACTGATTATTGTATTATATTTCTACCATGAAAAAAATCTTTTGCAGTTCTAA